CCTCTTGCACGGGCAGGAGTGGGAGTAGCCTGCGGCAGCGCGCCTCGCACCTGCGACAGCGTCCAGCGTTTCTGCGCTGGGTCCTCGTCGATCCGCATGAACATGGGGAACGACACAAAGAAGTAGATTGCGTAAAACAAGGAGCCAATGCTGCAGGGGGTGGGGTGAGAAGGAGGAGTGTGGTTTGACAGCAGCTGAGCGGGAGGTAGCTGGTCAAGAGCGGTAACAAAACCACGACGACGCAATGGCGCCTGCGCAGCTAAATGCAGCGGGTGCAAAGTGTGTGTGTGTGTGTGTGCGTGTGTGTGTGTGTGTATGTGTGTGTGTGCGCGCGTGCATGTGCGCACGACTGCACACCTGTGCATGTGTGTGTATGCGCTGTGTGCTTGTTCATGCGTGCGAACAGGTGCGTGCGTGATTGTGGCAGGTGCATGCGGAAGTGCAAAGCAAGCGACTGATGCCGCACCTGTACATTTTGGACCGGTCCACAAACGTGTAGTAAGGGAACTGTGGGCGTAGTGTGTGGGTTGAGTTTGGGGTGCCAGGGGTGACCGGGAATAGATTTGGCACTTCGGCAGGCGAATGCAGTTGCGGACACACACCTTCGCCCACACGCATGTGCCCCTTGTGCATAAATGCACACGTACGCATGCACACATGCATGGATCCACGCGCATGTACTTTTTGCACACACACACACACACACACGCGCGCGCGCGCGCACACAAACTCACATGCGCCCTTGCACACACACTCGCAAGCCCCCGCACAAGCAAGCAAGCATGCGCGCATGCTGGAGCCCACGTGTGAGATGGTCAGTGTCTCCATGTAGGCTGTGGAGTATGACAGCAGGAACACGATGAGACAGCGCGCCACCTTGCGTGTCAGCAGGGGTGCGCCCGTCAGGTGGGTTTCGACCTGGGGGGGATGCGTGAGTCCCGGGCCATAGTGATGGGGCACACACGGCAGCGTTTGAGTGAGGAGGGTGCAGCAGAGGCTTGCAAGCCTCTCAGCCTACGTCGATGCTCCCATCGGGTTTTGACTCGCAGGCAGGATGCGGGTGGTGCAAAGGCAGGATGTGCGTGGGCAGAATCCTTCGGCCAAGCTGCTGCCAGCTGGAAATCCACTGTTGCGCTCTAAGATACACCGCCTGTTCCCGCTGCTACCAGTGGACCGTTTCAATGACTAAAAGGCAAGGGCAGCTTTACCACTCGCCGAACCTTTCACCCCTTCCGCCGCGCACGCATCCACCTACCCGTCTGAGCACAACATTTGAAAGAGCGTGGTAGAAGCAAAAGTAAGCGTGAGTCATCAGAAACATGACGATCGGAATCTGCAGATGGGTGGGGCGGTTGCTGCGCGTGAGCGTGTGTTAGGATGTTTGAGCTGCACAGCCCAGTGGCACAGGAGATGGCAGGCACTGGTTGGATTCAAGGGGTTACAGCCACCACGCATGGCGTTCAGGCACTCTGTTTCAGCATTCGATGAAGCATGCGTTGTCGTGAAGCAGCACATCGCCCGCTGGCTTGGCGCGATGGCTGCACCCCCCGACCCTCCTGGCAGCTGTCGCTCCATGGGCCCAGCCAGGGCCACACCGCGCGCCCCCCATTCCAGCCCCCACACATACACACCCAGCCCCCAGGGGTCGCGCCTGGTTGAGCTTGAAGGCGGGCATTGTGTAGGCGGCCCCCAGGAGATTGAAAAAATAGTGGGTCCAAAAGTAGTTGCCAATGTATCCAAAAATAGCAATCCACAGATTCGCCTGGGCAGGGGCAAAGGCAGGCGCAAAAAACTGGTGGGCTTGCCCGTGATGGGTCTAGCTCACATGCCGGCGGGGGCGAACAAGGGTGGTTGGGCCCTGAAAGTTGGGTGCACCTGCCAGCATGATCGGCGCGTTGCGCCCGCCTTTGCCCACCTTGACCCAGAACCGGTCGTGCCACGGCCTGCCCTCGTCAGCCTGGCGGAGCGTTGAAGAAACTTGATTTTGGATGGGGATGCAGGTTGCGTGGGGCGCTGCTGCTTCGTTGCTGCCGCCCCCGCCGGCACGTGGCCCCCGCAGTGCCCGCTGTCGGCGCTGCGCTGCAATCACAGCGCATGCATCGCCCTGGCCGCACCTTGTTTGGCAGCAGGGGCGGCAGCAGGAGGCAGGGCAGCCCCGCGGCGAGCCCAACCAACAGGTACCCCCATTCATCCAGGTACTGCGGGGGTGTTGCAGTTCAGGCCGCGAGTGAGGGGAATATGAATGAGGGGCTGGATCTAGACTGATGCAGATGATGCGCATCAGGGGAAGGACGGCGGCGACCTCGTGCGGCGGCGGCCCGACCTCTGATCGCGCAACACCAGACCCACTGCGCCCTGCTGCCGCCTGCCGCCAATACTCCGCGGGCCAGCTGATGGGTGACCCCGGCTGGTCGCAGGAGGGCTGCTGCTGCCATCGGCCTGGGGGCGGCCCGGCCCCCTTCGCATGCACGAACGGCCACACGCACGCATACTTTGCCACGCACTAATCCACATCCACCACGAAGCCACATACACGCATGAAGACTGTGTCTACAACTGCATTCCCCCCTCTACTCCGCACCTCGTACAGTTGGAATGGCACCAGGATGCACAGGGCCCACAGGATCCAAAAGGGACTGTATGCAAGGAAGAATACCTCAGCCCACCGCTTGCTGGGGTTCTGCGCCAGCCACAGGCTGGGCGGCGCCTGGGCCGCCGTCCGCTTCGAAGCTGTGCGGGGGCCCAGAACGTGGAGCGCAGTGGTGCAGCATGGAGCGCGTCAAGCAGGGGCCGCTCGCAGCCGCGACTGCTTTGTTCGTGTGCAAAGCGCACAACATGTTTGACACCACCCATTTGCCTCACGCGCACCCATTGCTAAAATGCGAAACACTGATCTACTTCAGCCTGACTGCAGAAGCGTGTAGATGTTGAAAGGTTGGGTTTATGACCTTTGATCCAAGGACTGAGCGATGAATGGCTACCCTCGGTGGATCTTGGGAAGGGCACAATGCAGTAAAAACTACGGCCAGAGGGCGAGAATCCCAACAAGCCTAGAGTAGCAATGAGAAGTAACGTCAAAAACGTAGTGCTAGGCTGCGCCAGGGGCCACCCGCTCACCCTTGCCATGCGACTTGCAAACCGCCAACAAGCCGCTTCGCTCACACACACTGCACGACACCACGTTGTGTTCGTGGGCTCGGCAGCGACCCCGGTTTTAAAGCAATCACCTGAGCCAATGAGGCTGATGTATGAAAATCAAATGATGACCTGATGGAGAGCCTGGCACGCATTATCCTTTGGCGTACCATAAGTTGGTGCACCTGCCAGTCATCGCGCCACACTGGGCTCATCCCGCTTGTCCCAACCTGAGGCAGGCTTAGCCCTCCCTGGCTGCCAGTGAGGGCTCTGGTCCGTTCGACGATGAGCGCGTACTGCATGGGCCAAGCATGCTCATGTGAAGGTGGGACCTGGCATGAGTGTTCAAACGCTTTGCAAGAGCAGCGTGCGGCCGTGCACCTGCTGATGGTTTTGATGAGTGCCCTTAGAAACGGGGCTGATAGAAATTTGACAGCACGGCCAGTCCATCAGCAATTGCAAAATCAAGGAGCGCACCAGTCAGATGGGTGGCGTGGTCGTTGAGGCCCCCCAAAAGAAAAATTGACTTAAAAGCCAAGGCAGTTTTGGCTATCAATCCGCTGTGTTGTTTGTGTCAACTAGCGTATGCCTGTAGCATCAGCACGACATTGTAGGCAAACAATGGTGTGGGGTATGCGCATCCAGCTTCCAATTGAGCAAAGCATCAAGGCAGCTTGAGTCACGCATCCCATGATAGTTTTTGACAGCTACGCGCAATTGTACTCTATTGGACGGAGATCGCATGTGTTGGCTCGGAGTGTGGTATCGCGAGTGTCATGCACTACGCATGTCAGTGACGTACTCAGCCACACACAGCGCTCGTGCCAACAAGCTGGTCTGCCCAAGGCAGCCGGCACTCATCCTTCTTACTTGCGCTCTAATAAAGGGTGCATCGCAGCGCATCTTGCGCAGCTGCTCTGGTCGCGACCCGGAACCAGAAACTGTGCAGCAAAAGCGCGAGCAGCCGGCAGGCAAAGCTGGAATGTGAGCAGCAAAGCACCAGGCTGCGGCCTTCCACCAATGTGATTTGGATGCGTTAACACATCCTGGGATTGACTTAAACAGGATTCGCTCTTTACATCATTAAAACGACACTTGCTGTCAGGCCCAGATCAGGCGAGCCTCGTTGGCAAGCCGCAAAAGCTCATTGCTGGCAGGCCCTCGACAGCAGGACCTAGAGATTTACGTAAAGCACTATTTACATGCAGTAGAGGTTCACGGGTCGCGGATAGCACAAGCCGGTCCTTGCCTGGCCGGCGGCCAGGTGTGTGCGCGTGACACCGGATAAAACTTGATCGAATAGATAGCAGCTGTTATGTTTTGATGCGCTGAATGGATGTTGGACCCCGCGGCAAAGTGCAATGTTGATCTCGTGCCCTCGATGCTGTTTGCGCCTTATACGCAGGCATGATGCTGCAGCATAGGCTGCAGCCGATTCGTATTCGTTCGGGAGGGCCGCAGCATGCAGTGGCGCTGCCCCGCAGCTCGGGCCGGCGCGCCTTGTTGGCGCTCGCCCATGCAGGGTCTCCAAGAGCGTTGGGCGCCGCCGCGCCCACCACTCTGAGCCTCTTTGGCCAGCCTCGCCACGCTGCAGACCTTCGCAAGGGCCCCGCGGCCGCCGCTGCGGCTGCCGCGGCGGCGGCGCCGCTGCACCCCCAGACGCCAGATGCAATGTCGGCTGGATGCGGCCTCGGCGACTGCCTGGAGGACTTTGGATTCGGCGGCGCCCACCAGCAGCATCAGCAACAGCAACAGCAGCACGGAGCCCACCAGGGCGGCAGCAACGCCCACATCAGCGCGCAGATTCGGCAGGCCGTAGAGGAGGCCATCCGTGCCTCTGGCATTGGCGTCGCCCTGGTGGGGGTGCCGGGCATGCAGGGGTTTGCACCCACGCACCAGCATGGCCGACCACACCGCCAGCACGTGGCGCACCCGCAGCACCACACCCCGCAGCAGCACCAGGAGCAGCAGGAGGGACACCAGCAGCGGCGGCAGCAGCAGCAGCAGCAGCACCAGCAGCAGCACCAGCAGCAGCTCGGATGGCAGGACAACGTGGACTTGTCCCAGCCAGCTGCTGCTCGCCCCATGCCTGGCGCGCCCGCGGCCGCCGCGCTCGCACCACCAGCCGCCGTGTCGTTCCGCGACGCCGGCGCTGCGGCAGCGGACGTCCTTGCGGAGCGCCAGAGCAGCCACGCGGCCGCCAGCACCAGCGCTTCCGTCGTGGCACAGGCAGAATCGCACGGCGCGACGGCGGCACAGGCGCGCACACACCATCCGTACGACGCACGCCTGCTAACCAGCCTCATCAAGGGCGCGCGTGATGCGGAAGCTGTCAGGCAGCTGCTCGAGGCGCAATGGGACGGCCTGGACGAGATCCACGTCAGCGCGGCGTTCGCCCGGCTGGCGCACCTGCAGCAGCACGCGGACGCCCCGCCAGCCGCGCCAGGCCTGCGGCTGCGGCGGCAGGGGCAGGGGCAGCAGCGCCCACACCAGAGCGTCGGCGGCTACACCGCAACCCCAACCAAGCGGCGGGCGCTTGCACTGGAGTTTGCGCCTCAGGCGGCGGCTGCGGACGTGCTGGCGGCGTTGGAGGCGGAGCAGCGGGAAGCGCAGCGGCTGCACAAGCTGCGGCTCGCGGCGCCGCCTGTGATCGTCGCCGAGCAGCTGCCGGCCAGCTTCCTCGTCGGCCTGCTGCAGCTGGCGGAGCGGCACCTGCCCGCGATGCAGGGCCGCCACGTGTCGAGCGTGCTTTGGGCCGTTGCCGTGCTCGGGCTGCGGCCCCCGGAGCACTGGATCTCTGCGTTCGCGCAGCGCGCACAGGCGTTGATGGCGCACGGCACGTCGCCGCAGGGGTTCAGCAACACCATCTGGGCCATGGCCACCCTCGGCTGGCGCCCCGCTCGCGGCTGGCTCGGCAGCTTCTACGCAGCCGCCCAGCCGCACCTGGCGGGCTTCCGGCCGCAGGAGCTGTCCAGCATGCTCTGGGCGTTGGGCGCGTCCCGCGCGCACCCGCCGCCGGCATTCGCCGAGGCGGTGCTTGACGCCGCGGCCGCGCGGATGGGCGGCTTCACAGCGCAGGGCCTGGCCAACCTGGTGTGGGCGCTCGGCGTGCTGCGGCTGCGGCCGCCGGCGGGCTGGTGGGCGGCGGCGGGGTTTGCGGCGCGACGGTGCGCGCGGGAGCTCACGCCGCAGGGCATGGCCAACCTGCTGTGGGCCTATGCGGTCCTGGACGGCCCTGCGGCACGGCAGCAGCAGCAGCAGCAGCAGCAGGCGCCCTCCTGGCTCGCCGCCCTGGACGAGGTTGCGGCGTCCAGCCTGGACACGTACAAGCCGGACTACCTTGCAAACGTCGTCTGGGCGCTCGGCGTGGCCGGCCACGAGCCCAGCAGCGCGCTGCTCGCGGCCGCCGAGCGCGGCGCCATCGCACAGCTGCCCCACCTCTCGGGGCCGGCGCTGGCGAGCGTCTTCTGGGGGCTGACGCGGCTCGGATGGCGCGGGGAGGGCGAGGCCGGCGCGCAGCTGCTCGGCGGCTGCCTGGCGCGGCTGCTCGAGGAGCTTCCTGCGCTGAAGCCGCGGTCGCTTGCAGAGGTAGCGTGGGCGGCCGGCGAGCTGGCGCGGTGCAGCAGTGGCAAGCAGCAGCAGCAGCAGCAGCAGCAGCAGCAGGTGGGGGCGTCGGTGGCGGGCGCTGAGGCCCGTATTTGGTCCCAGCAGTTCCTGTGGCACGTGCAGGGGCGGCTCTCGGAGTTCACCCCGTCAGAGCTGGTGGACTTGGGGGCCGCCCTCTGCCCCTCTGGCGGCTTTGCGCCCGGCGCGGCCTGGGCGGACGCGTACATGGGGGCGGCCGCCTCGCAGCTGCTCGCCTTCCGCCCGCGCCACTTTTCCGGGGTACTGAGGGCGCTGGCAGCGTGGGGGCGGCAGCAGCAGCTCCAGGACTCGGAGGGGTGGCGCGTCGTGTTCCTCTCAGCGGCGCAGCAGCAGGTGTCCGCGTGGCGCTGGGCGCCGGCGGACGCGGCGGCGCTGCTGCAGGCGCTCGCGGCGGCGGGCGTGCGGCCAGAGGAGCGGCAGCTTGTCGCCTTGCTGGATGCGACTCTCGTGCCCCACGGCAGCCATCATCATCACCAGCAGCAGCAGCAGCAGCAGCAGCAGCAGCAGCAGCATGAGCATGAGCAGGACGCGCTGGGCCCCTTGGCTGCATGCGGAGCTGGCGCCGGCCACAGCTGCCTGCCGGCGCTTGCGGTGGCCTGGCAGGCGCTCACGTCGCTTTCGTACCGCCCACCTTCGAAGTGGCTGCTGAGCTTCTACCAGAAGACGGAGCCGCTCCTTCTGGCGGCGGCTGTGGACGGCAGCGGCGCGCGGGAGGCCGCGTCGCTCCTTCACAGCATGGCGCTGCTGGGCATCAGGGCGGTGAGCGCCCCACCGCGCTCCTGGACGGCGGCCGCCTTCGCCGCCTGCGCGGGCTGCGCGGGCCCCGCGGCCCAGCCGGCGCCTGCGCCGCTCGCGCCGCAGCAGGCGGCGCGCGTGCTGTGGGCGGCGGCGGCGCTGCGCCGCGAGCCGCCGCGGCGGCGGCAGCTGCTGGCGCTGGTGGCGGCTGCCGAGGCGGGG